GCACTCATTCTCCCGAGGTTCTATCTCTAAATGAGCTATGCGCGATAGACTCGCCTCCACGTGGTGTACACTGCGCAACGTATACTCATACGGCAAAAAAGTCTATAAACCGCCAGTTGACTTCTGACTTTAAACTACCATGATCCCACTGTATGCCATACTCGACTTCTTCCACAGTACCTACCTAACCTTTTCCTTTGCCTTTGTGTCTGACTCATTTAAACCCGTGAAGCATTCTTCCGTTCCCCCTCTCCACTTTTTGCGAATTTGATGTTCCTCCCTTCTGTGAAACTCGAAGTCTACTAAAGTGCTAATGATAACTATCATATAGCCTGCCATTTGATATGAATAAATACTCCTATTCACAGGTCTGTGGAACCTTGGATTGGCTTGCATCGTCGTTTGATTAACCACTTCCATTTAAGCACCTTATTCGTCAAATGTTCGTCAATAAGCACACGGTATAATCATCTTACACTTAGGCCAACTTTATCTAAGGCCTTATCTCCAATATGCACTGCCTTCTACCCCAACTCCTCCTCTATTTCTGGGTAACTCTGTCTCATTGTTGCCCTCATATCTAGTTCCATACTGCTGAATCCAGCGGTCCTCTTGTCTTTGTCAATCAAATTCTCATTACTCAAACCCTTTTAAGGATTAGGTAAAGAGAAATAAAACAGCCACTTTAGGACACACGACCTTCGCCTTACTTCAAAGAGGAAATACGTTTTGAAATATAAGCGGCCATTTCTACCACGATCTCCAAAGCATTTAGAAACCAAACCGCAATTACTTTCTTTTAGGTGATTAAGTATTCATTTGTTTGTTTGAAATAATGTTACGAAGCATTATTACACTTTAACCAACGGCAACAATTAACAAATTTACGACTTTTCATTTTAGGAAATTTCTTGAAATTGGGAAAACGACAACGGAGTTGGTGTGATGGATTACCGATTCCAGATTGTAGGATGTTCACTCGTTGAACTTTTTTGCTAAATAAGATCAAATTCTTATCCAGAAGATGAAGTACTCATTGATCACTAATACAAGTATGACAGTCGGTCTTGTCACTTTTCACTCATTTCATCGGATGCACATTGATTATGTGGGAGCTTACTTGATCCCAACACAGTGGAGCTCACGGAGAAGAGTAAAGAGAATGTTAACTCACAAAAAATCAACGATTTCTTGGGGCAGCAAAACATCTTCCAAAGAGCTAAAATACTGGAAGTCAAATAGTTCCTTAATAGTATGAAAATTTCTCGATGTTGCAAATAATAAACTTTGCCAGTACTGTTAATTGCTGGGATTAATTGAAGCTCATTAAATGTCGGTCCAGGTTTAGAAATATTTATTTATTTATATCAAATGGCAGGCGTTTTGATAGTTATCATTAGCCCTTTAGTTGACTTCAGGCTTCACAGAGGGGAAGGAACATCAAAGTGAAAAAGCCGAGAGAGGGGGTGGACAGAAGAGTGTTTCAAAGACGAAGGTGCAAAAGGTAGAATAAAGGTGAGGTGAGTACTGTGAAGGTAGTCAAGTATGACATACAGTGGAGTCATGGTAGCTTGAAATCAGAAGTCAACTGGTGTTTAATAGTCTATCGCACACCCCTTGAATTAAACGTGGAGTCAATTATTGGAATAAAATGATGAATTTTCATAAAAATAGATAACTGACTGTTTAACATGGCATCCTAGGAGAATCGCTACTAAAAATTTATAGCGGATTAGCGGTAATTAAGAAAATTGGAAGAAATAAGAGGGGGGGGGGACTGGAACACCGGCCAAAATTCTATTGATTTACGGCGGGTAAAATTCGTTGAGGCTGTTTAAAATATTGACCAATAATTCGGTTAATGACTTTATAAGTTCCCATGGTATTATTAATCACCAATGAGGATTATTCAGGCATTCAAGCGGGGTGCAGGTCTAACAGACCATGTTCTTTGTAATACAGTGAATTGTTTCCTTTTCCTAAAACAGCAAAACCACTAGGCTTTTAATATGTGAGTTTCGTCCATTTATTGTTGAGGGTAGCAATCGTAAGAAGACATATGTGTCACACATAAATGTAAAAATAGGCTCATATTTGTGGGACACGTCATCACATGCCTGCTCTCCAAGATTGGGAGGTGCGACCGTACAAACAGTGACCAATCATTAACCTCTGTTTGTTTAACCTAATCTGCCATCCTGATCATGATTAAGCTTCTTGCGTGAACACTTTATCCGCAACATACTAACTGAATAAACGTGCTCCGTGCTACACGTCTGTTTCCTTTATAGCTGGGCTATGGCTTAGCTGATTCTGGGAGTCTAGCTAGATGTTGGAGAATCTGCCATAGAGATTTCTGAGTCGGTCAGGCTTTACTATTGTAGCAATCCGCTACATATTATTGTCCATTATTGCGAATATATATATATCCCATTANGAAGCTCATTAAATGTCGGTCCAGGTTTAGAAATATTTATTTATTTATATCAAATGGCAGGCGTTTTGATAGTTATCATTAGCCCCTTAGTTGATTTCAGGCTTCAGAGGGGAGGAACATCAAAGTGAAAAAAGTCGAGGGGTGGGGGTAGGGAAGAGAAGAGGAATTCACATATGTAAAAGATACAGACACAAAGGTAGAAAAAAGGTGAGGTGATTACTGTGGAAGTAGTGGAATATGACATAGAGTGGGGATGATGGTAGTTTGAAGTGAGAAGTCAACTGCCGGTTAATAGACTTTTTTGTCGTATGAATATACGTTGCCCAGGGTGCACCACGTGGTGGTAAATCTATTGGGCACCCGTGTTTAGAAATATTAATTGGTCAATACGAACAAAATGTTCATGGATTTTTAAATCTAGAGCAGTGTGGGCCAGTTTGCATACGGAGCCTGAAATTCGGATTACAAATAGACTTTTGGTAGTGAATACAGGATAAAACATTCATATATTTTGGCCAAGATAAAAGCGATACCACGTCACATGTCTTACTATGATGCTAATTGGCCACTTTGTGCTAACTGTGTATCACTTCATTTTTGGTCGCTACTTTTTAGTGACGTTTGTGAATACAGTCCTGCCAAATCCCGTTTTCAACCGAACAAAAAGCGTTTCCACTTGTCAAAAGCTATTTGGGATATAAATCGTTTGTAGTGTTAATTGAAAGGTTCACAGGAAACTATCCAAAAACAGTTGCTTCTGCTACAAGTGTTTCACAGAAAATGATTGCCAAACACAATTGGATACAGGGATATATTCCACGTGCCCCCGGAAATCAACCAAACGTCTATCCTCCTCAATAAACATCATCACGCCAGAACATGTCTAAGGAGTTAGAAATGCAAAGTTGGTGGTAAAAATTTTCAGCACTTGCTGTGAACTATTAATTTATTTCAAATGGCAGGCGTTTTGATAGTTATCATTGACCCTTTATCTGACTTCAGGCTTCACAGAGAGGAGGAGGAACATCAGTGACAAAAAGTCGAGAGGGGGGGACAGAATAGTGACTCACAGAGGTAACAGTGATAGACAGACAAAAAGGGAGAGAAAAGGTAAAATGAGTACTGAGTAGGGGTCGAATATGGCATACAGTGGGGTGATGGTAGTTTGAAGTGAGAAGTCAACTTCAAGTTTAATAGACTTTTTTGCCGTATGAATATACGTTGCCCAGGGTGCACCACGTGGAGGTAAGTCTATCGCATACCCCTGCTGTGAACTATTGATTATTCAGTGTACAATTGTTCGTGCCATTCCATATTTACAACTTTTAAATAAAAATTCAGAACTAATTAGCCTGTCTGTATTCCCGCAGGATCACCCTTATCTTGGCTACCCGGAGAAATCAACACAACCACCCCCACTCCACTCCACTCCTCACCTCCCCCCCCCCCCTCCTTTATACGAATCTAACTATGTTTTGAAAAGACGTTGGGGTCGCAGATGCGCGANAGTTGACTTCAGGCTTCACAGAGGGGAGAAACATCGAAGTGAGAAGAGATCGAGAGGTGGGAGGAACAGAAGAGTGAATCACATATATAAAAGAGAAAAAGGTAAGGTAAGGTGAGTACTGTGAAAGGGGTCGAATATGACAAGGTAAGATGAGTACTGTGAAAGGGGTCAAATATGACAAATAGTCGAGGTAAGATGAGTACTGTGGAAGGGGTCGAATATGACATACGGTTGAGGTGAGTACTGTGAAAGTAGTCGAATATGACATACAATGAGGTGAGTACTGTGGAAGTAGTCGAATATGACATACAGTAAGGTGAGTACTGTGGAAATAGTCGAATATGGCATAGAGTGGGGAAGATGTAGAAGATACAGACACAAAGGTAGAAAAAAGGTGATGTGAGTACTGTGGAAGGGGTCGAATATGACAAGCAGTCGGGCTGTGAGTACTGTGAAAATGATCGAATATGACATGGAGTCAGCGAGTACTGTGGAAGTAGTCGAATATGACATACAGTGGGGCGAGTGCTGTTGAAGGGGTTGAATATGACAAGCAGTCGGGCTGATTACTTTAAAAGAGACAGACAGACAGACACAAAGGCATAAAAAGGGTAAGATGAGTACTGTGAACGGGGTCGAATATGACAAATAGTCGGGCCATAGTAGTTTGAAGTGAGACAGAAAGACATAAATGCATAAAAAAGGTAAGATGAGTTCTGTGGATGGGGCAATAGTCGGCTCATTGTAGTTTGAAGTCAGAAGTCAACTGCCAGTTAATAGACTCATGGTAGTTTGAAGTCAACTGCCAGGTAATAGACTTTAGTTTGAAGTCAGAAGTCAACTGCCAGTTAATAGACTTGCCGTATGAGTATACGTTGCCTAGGGTGCACCACGTGGAGATAAGTCTATCGCACACCTGTGGTAATGGATACACGAAGATAATTAAAGGTAAATTACAATATGTGACCCGATTTTTTTAAATTATTGTTTCAGGTCTTAAAAAGATAGCTCAAATTTTAGTCATTGGGTAACGGCAAATAATTCACTATTATAAATTTAGACAAACTGAAACAAAATAAAATTTAATCGAATATCCAAAACATTGCAATTGGCAAAAAAGTTCAAAATAACTTAGCAGATTGTAAAAATTTAATGAAATGAGTGATTAATTATTCTAAATACCTACCGCTTTGGTTTCTGTATGCGGTTTGCGTTTTATTCGGTGCCTCCAAGTGCACTTTTTTGAATGAGCGCGGTAATTCTGAGTTTAAAGGGTTCAAATAAACGCATTCCCTCTACCCTCCGCCCCACCCGTATAAAAGAGAATTATGCATTTACAAAAAAGATTATTGTAATACAAATACTTGAGCGCATTTCTCATTGCCTTCTTATTATAATGTTTTCACAATGACACAAATCATATATTCACCAAGAAAGTGTCAAGAAGTGATAAATACCAAACAAATAGATTAGTAGGGCAGTTTCTTTTCATAACGAGGGATGCAGAAAACTCCACCTTCGTCGACCGAAAGTTAAAATCACTGGCGGAATTAGACAAAGGAGGAGAAAGAAGAGGAAAGCCGACGGATATCCAAGCGCGTCAGTGAGAGAGGCAGCGCCAAGGGCACTGAAGACCAATTTGCCAAGAACTTCCGCGGTGGAGAGAATTGTGTAATGCGTTGCTTGGGCGCCTTCAACGACCTCACGTCTCGTGCACTCCATCATTAGAGTGAAAATTGTTGTTGTGATAGATCCACTCACCGCCAGCGTTGCATTCATTAGAAGCACGCCTAAAATGCATAAAACAAACAAACACAAACATTATTCAATGGTGTTCAACGAATGAACAGCATTCTAGAAAATTTTGTATAAGTGGGAAATTAAATGAGATAAATAGTAATTCAAATTTTCTGCCATTTAAGAACAGAAATCAAAAACGTGATATCTTTATGAAGAATTCCATTGGCAGAGATCTTATCTGTAATTAGGGGAAATGTTAATTATTAAATCCTATAATGGTGCTAATATACCAATTTGGCTCTCTACCAAGTAGGTAACTGAACAGTACTAAAATAAGATTATTTCTTCTTAATGTAATTAGAGGACAGATGGAAGTTAACAGTACATTGAGCAGAAAACTTCAACTAATTTCAAGGAGGGTTAATCAAAATGGAACAAAAGGCGGATTTTCGAAAAGTGAAAGCGAATGGAGAGGGCGTTAATTGGATTTAAGAAATGATGGCAACTTATCGGATTAAGGATGAAATGAGACAACCAATTAGAAATTAAGAATAAAACTGTAGTGTATAAAAATGAATGCTTGAAAAAGGTGTCTGTAAATATTTGTTTATATTAAATGACAAGCTTTAAGATAGTTATCATTAGCCCTTTAATTGACTTCAGGCTCCACAGAGGGGAGGAACAGACAAAGTCAAAAAAAGTGGAAAGGGGGAACAGAAGAGCGATTTACAGACGCAAAAGACAGACATAAAGGTAAAGAAAAGTTGAGATGAGTATTGTAGAAGCGGTCGAATATAACGTACAGTGGGATCGTGATAGTTTGAAGTCCATTGTCAGTTTATGGACCTGTTTTGCCGTATTAGCATACGTTACCCAAGGTGCACCAAGTGGAAGTAAATCTATCTCACACCCCGACATCTGCAAATATTGATGACAATGAAAGAGCACTCAAGACACTTTTCACCCAAAGGCCTTTGTCATGAACTACAATAGCTAAGCGCCATTTCCATCCATTGGGCTATGAAATACACCTTTTCACAGAGGGTAATCGCCTTTAATCAATTGAACGAAATCTAATTCGGTTATTTTTTTCCGAAAAATCCAAAGTCAGCTTCTTAGGAAGAAAGGGGAAAAACAAACTGCGAAATTTTAGAATTATGCAAATTAATAGTCAAATCTAATTTAGCCGCAATGAAAATAATTAAGTTAATAACTATAATTGGACAAAAGAACATTGAATTTAATTATTCTATCTTTCAATTTAAATTATTATGAATAACCTTTTTAAAAAATCCTAAAACTGTTATTTTTATAATTTTAAATCTTAACGTTTTCAAATATTTTTGAATTAAATTGATTAGGGGAGGGGGGGGGGCAATTTATCCCAATTTTCGAAGGTGAAATAAAATTAATTTCTTAAGGGGGCTGTAAATTTAGAGAACACATTTGCATCTTGATGCTAGCGTCTATTTTCTTGCACACACACACAATTTAGATAGCAAGATTCTTTTCCCACTGAAATATAAATTATTAGCCAATAATAAAAGTGGAAAGCATATTTGAGATAAAGGAAATTATAAGATTCCTATTGTAGTTTAGAATATTACATTGTATTAAAAATAGTAAAAATAGATTCAATTAAGTTAAATTTCAATAGAATAATACTACTAAGTTAATAAAACAAAATAGAATGTTTAGGAAAAAATATGGTTAAACTAATAAGGGAATACTTCAACTACCAATAGAATTCAATAGCCCAGGCTCCGGGATCAGAGCACAGACAAAAAATATTCCTGTTTACTCAATCCGGTTCGAAAGGATACAGAAGAGGCGGATACATTGAGTTGGCTGCTGAAAGGATTTACAAAGAACCCGACCAGAATACACGATAGAAATGACCACTTCCCCTTTGGGAGGACATGAAAAATTTCCCCACTTATCACTTGCCAGGGGCACTTTTTTGAAGTTACCGAGTAGCAGTGGGAACTGCAAGGAAAGCGAAAAAAAAATTGGACGAGATGGGAAGAATTCTTTGGAGAAAAATTCAAGTTCTCCCCATGAAGAAGGTTCATGAAAGACAAGGCATGCGAACATCCACTGAAATGTATCACAAGGACCTCAAACTAACGACGTCGCCTCTTTAAATCAGCATTCTACATACTGGGTGTGATTGTAAAAAATAGAAACCGAGCTTTTTGGTAAGCCTAAGTTTCTGATCTGATCTACTTAAGGCCATAACACCTTAACGAGAATTTACCATTCCATTTTTTCTTTTCAGATCTTTTCACATGACAAAGCACCGTTTCCTTCTTCACTGAAAGCACAGTCGAATCACGTAACGTGAATAGAAGAAACCTCGAGCCATTTCTCTGTTCGAAATGCTTTCCATCTTAGCACCATTTGTCCAGTATTCGCGTTTTTTTTCTGATAATAAAATTTTTCAATATCTGGCAGGTTGAAATCATAATAAGTGCAGAAGTGGCTCTTCACCAGTGTGAATAGAGGGATTTTATCCCCATTGGAGCACTAAAAGTATGGATTTATATCAAAGTACTTTAAGTGCCAGCAAAGTGGGGAGAATAGCATGGGGAGGTGGGG